TGGGTAGGAAAGAGGGAACCGATTACAACTATATGTGACCTCCTCCCTGGGGCACAGACAACCAAAAAGTGGGTGAATGGAGATGTCAGACAGGGCAAGATATGACATAATAGCAATTTATAAATTATCAAGGGCTCATGAGGGAGAGGGGACTGGGGAGGGAGGGGAAAAATGAGGACCTAATGCCGGGGGCTTAAGTGGAGAGGAAATGTTTTGAGAATGATGCGGGCAATGAACGTACAAATGCGCTTTACACAATTGATATGTGTATGGATTGTGATAAGAGTTGTATGAGCCCCTAATAAAATGATTTAAAAAAAGGAAAAATATTAGTTTTTGAGCTCACAGGTTTGAAGCAGCAAGCAAAAAGTGAACTAGAAATAACCCAAATGAGACAAAATGATGGTTATGAGGTGAAGGTTGTCAAGACCAAGAGTGGAAAAAGAAGATAAAATAAATAAAAGAAGTTAAAATAAATAAAATGTTGGAATGCAGGTGTCAGTTCCGATTGAAAAGTTTATTTTAAAATGATTTCTAGCATTACACTTAGCAACATTAAGCACATTTCCATTTTAGAATGTAGTTAAGATTTAAGTAACTAAAAAAAGTTCACTTTAAAGATTAAACAAGTCTTACTAAAATCTATTACAAAAAGAAATGGTATGAATTGCTTTGTGATGAGCTGCGGTAACCTCAGTAGTGATCACATACCATCTAAGCCATGCACACAGACAATAAGATGCACCCCGGCGTCAGGGTCATCGTCTTCTTCCACGCTGAAGTAAGGTGCGGAGGATGCCAGCTGAGGAACATCACTGTACATAAACCCTGGCAGTCTAAGATGCTTCAGTTCGTCTTTGGCATGAAGGAAACTGAAGTAAAAGATGATAAGATACTAAACATTATACTCAGTTTTTAAAACTAAAAAAGTCTGCTAAATTTAAAGAATTGCAAAGGGAGAAACCCAGCGATATTTGGTTTTAAAATAATAAAAAATAGGTGGATTCACCCAACTGACTTAGATATCTGGTAGTATTTTAAAGAAGATTCTTTAAATTTTAAAGAATAGTATTTTAAAGAGATTCGGTAGTATTTTAAAGAAGATTCAAATACTGTAGCAGTATATTTTTCTTCAAAATTTTAAATAAATTATCTGATCTCATATAATAAGGACTTGAAAGTTGAAACTGTTTAATATTATTTAAATGTGAAATCAGCTACTAAGAAAATATTGGGAGCAGTGTTAAGGTTTTCTACAATCTTCCATAGCTAATCAAATTAGTGCCTTTTAGATTACAGAGACCAGAGAATAAAATAGAAATGAATCCCTTCAGCACTACTTATGATGATGTCGATGGCCATGTACGAGTAGCTAATTGCTCCATTACTTACGCTTGTATTTGAGGTTTTGGAGAATTTTCAAACCAGGAAAATGATGAAGTAAAGTTGCACGAAGTGCTGCTTGGCTGTTTTGTAATGGCATCAAATTGATTTTTAGAAGAACAGTTAACACTATAAGGAGACTCCCGTGGTGCAGACGGGAAAGACAAACACCCAGAAGTGCAGACAGTAGGCATGTTCATCCCATCCCTCAGATAATCACTGTGTACTTGTTCAAATTTTCCAAGTTTCTCTCCTACGAGTGCACCTCTGTTTGAGCAGTGAGCAATTACGGTTTCATCCAAAGCTGAATCATCTGTTTCTTCATGATATCCATTTTGAACCATGTGTTGATCCTGTTCTTCCTCCTCATCCTCTTTATTTTGTTCCTGCTGGTTACTAATTTCTTTTTCAAAAGTTTCCTTCTGAGAGCAGGAATTGCTGTAGCTAAGAACACATGTGTCAGTATTGTCTGTACTGGTACTGCTTTGAGACCCAAAATGGTTTTCCACGAGCCCCTGCTTTACCACATCAATACTGGCAGAAAATGGGTCGCCCGTACCCAGATGACTTTCGCTTTTAACCGTGGAAGTTGCTGAATATATTTGTTTGAAATTTAATGCCTCACTATCTATTCCTTCCATAGTTCTAGCTTCAGGAATTCCTGTATGAGTAGAAACAGACCCTGAAATAACACAAGACGAAGTTCCTACACAAACCAGTGTTGAGTCGAATGTAATTGCTGTCCCTGCAGAGTGGTCAGATTTATTAGCACTCGGGGAGTCTGTACACACACTATCTAAGTTAGGCTTGGAGCTGATACGACTTTTCCCATCACCGGAAGTATCTTCATCAGAAAAAACAAATTGTAAAGAGTCTTTGGTGCTTGAATTTAAGGACTGTGTTGCTATTGTTTCATTGTCCACATCCCCTGAAAATACAGCACTCTGCTGTTTCAAGATAATACTTGAATTTTTACTATCATCACATTTTGGCAAATCAACTGTTCCCAGATTTAATACAGTTTTACTATCACTCAGATGGCATTCAGCCACAAGAGATTTCTTAGAAATTTCATCAGGTGACAGTTCATCGTCAGAAGGTAGAGAGTTTATAGATGTCAGAGATGACTGTATTTCACTTAAAGCACTTGTGCTCTCAGTACAATGATTTTCTAGTGAGAGCTGTATATTATAGTCAGGTTTCATCAAAAGCTGAGGAAGTAATCTTTCAGTATTGTAAAGACCTTGTCCGTGTATAGTTTCAAGTACTACATCTGGGTTTGAATGTGTTGCAAACGAACTTGGTTCACTTTCAACACCTGAATCAGACAATCTAGATGAAGCATATGTGGCATTAATATCTGGCAACTTTATTTTATCTCCACCTACTATAACATGACATTCTTTTGTAGAAGGAGCAGGTAGATTATTTCTTAATTTAGCTAGTGAGTCTCCAACAGAATGACACTTTGCCTCCTGTAAAGCTTCCTTCTCAAGGGCTAGTTCTATAGATTTAGATTTACAATTAGAGTCTACGGATTCAATGTTCAATAGCTGAAAGTGATCCACAAATAGTTCATCTGGTTGTGGCTCTGTCCAAGGTCCTATTTTAACTGCTACTTTCTCTCCCAAAAAAGGATCCTTATTGTTGGACATTACTTCAACTGTTCTAACTCCCGAAGATGGGGTTGTCTGATGATCATGGCAATCATCGGATGAGCTTCTGGATGCCAGACAGTGTTCCACTGGAGTAATTTCACTATCGTCCTGGGGCATACCAAGTTTACCTGAAATGGACAAATTTGTACAAAGATTTAGGCTGCCAGAGTTCAAAGGATCAAATTGGTTTGGTTGGACATGTTCAATATCTGGAGACTTTTGTTCAGTTCTCTCTGTATTAGCTGGCAATGGGCTAGCTTCTTTTTGACTTGTCTGTCTGATGTAGGTCTTTGGGTCAAAATTATATCCACATATTGTGGGATCCAGACCTTCTTTCTGACTATGTGAAGGGTTGCTTTCAAAGTAGTTAGACAGATCATGTGATGCGGTACTTTTCAGGCATTTGTAGCCTACCAAAACTACAGAATCCTTAGGGCTCTGTTTTATTAATTTTTTGGTGTTTTCTGGTTTCATAGTTTTCATGAGCTTAGTAACCTTAACTTTGGGTTTATTTGATTCTTCATTCTTTCCTTTAAGAGACTTTGTTAGCTGCTTTTCACCATCTGTATACCACATATTGGAGGCACCAGCAGGTCTGACTTTCAACTCTGGGCTAGAAAGTCCAGCTACAGAGCTTTCTTCAGTCTCATATTTATCCATTCTACTGGATTCTGATCTCTGAAGATTCTGAATTCCCATCCAGGGTGCATCTAAGTCTTTTATCCAAAGAAAAAAAGATTCAGGTTTAAAACAAGGTGTGAGACTCATCATTAAAGACCGCGTTTACTGCTTGTTTACAACTAAACACCACATGGGTGTTGATTCTAGAGGTTATGGGCATGTTTTCTGGAGAGATCTTGGCTGATTGGTTTAATGCTGTGTGTAATGCTTCTGTTCTATATTCCAGTTCCTTACGCAATACCTAGGGTCTGAAAAGCTTGCAAGTGGCTTTTCATGAGACAACAATTAGCCTCTTATTCACCTGGAGCAACAAAGGAAGGAGTGTCAGGAATGATAGGGAGATATGGAATGAAGGACTAATCACTTCATGAGTAACTGCCTCCTTTTCTGGGAGACCAGAAGGAGACAGTTTCTGGTTACTACTACTCAACATTTTAATTAAAGAGCCCATAGAAGAATTCTTATCAAAAGGAAGAGGTATAAAACACAGCGTTAAATTCTCAAGAACCCTAGATATTCTGGGGCTGTGGAAGGTGCATAAACTCCTGAAGCTATTGCCCTGAGATCATCTTTAAACTCTAAGCCAAAAATATCTCTTGAAGACATCTTAAAACTAAGCAATCATTTAATTCAACTACTAAAAGGTTCTGCCTTGAGCATTATGCTCTTTCTAAACAACAACATGGGATCAAACTGACAACAACAACACAAAAGATTAGATAAGAACCTTAGGGGGCAATGAATTTATGTCCATGAAGGGAGGACGACTCAGTAAAAGAGTGAAAATAGTCACACACCTCAAAGGATGTCACTAAACTGTACAGGGAGACACTTCAATTGGGGTATGTGTTGCTTTGCATACTTTTTTTTTAATAATAAAATATGAACTTTGTGTCCTTTTAACAATAGAATAAATATAATTTAGAAAAAAGGACTCTTTTTGATGATAACTTTCCAGAATACTGAAAAATAAATAAAACCAGGAGAAAAACTATTCCACATTAAGGAGTTTTTTGATTATTAAGAAGCATATACTAAAAGTGATAAACACACCATAGAAATGTCTGTTATACTTACCTTCAGTAACAGAATCTAAATACCTATCTTCAAAGATTATAGGTAATGAATTGAGATCTCCATCTAATTCACTACATTCAATAGGTAGGGGTGGAAGAGAATTGCAGAAGGAAGTATTTTTGATAGCGGTGCACATCTGTAGATGACTCTGAGCACTGAAAAATATTTCTTTAAGTCAGACTGTAATAAAAAAACACACTTCACCCAACTCAGTTTTCCAGACTCTAGCCCCTTGTTCTGTGCTCAATGTTTCTGAAGTTCCACTTAAGACATAATTTCCTTATGAAAGTGTTTCTTGGTCAGACACACAACTTGCAAAATAAAAATTAAGGCCAAAAAAGTTCTTCTTCCTCCAAAACTTTTAAGTAGAAATTAAATGCCATAATCTTAAAATGAGTAGATCAACTAGATAATTTAGAGAAATAAGTTTATCAATCAATTTCTTATTCTTCTTCTACGCTTTCTGTGTATTCCAAAAGGTATATCTATTTTTAATGTTTAAATTTTCTAATTTGTTGTGAAGTATATGAAAAAATAATGAAGGCTCAAGTGCCTAATTATTTAATTAGAGTACTAGTAAAAAAATGTACTCCACGGCTACTCGTCCACTTTACACATAAGAATAAAGCTAACTATTTAATACAGGGCGTATAATTTTCTAACACAACATAGTTTTAAAGATAAACCCTTCTTATGGGAAATTTCATGGCATCAAAATAAAAAACCAAAACAGTACAACAGTGTAAACACGCAGCTTCTTCAATTAACCAGTTTTGCTAATCTTGTTTTTAGCTTAAACTAGTATTTCCCAAAGGCAGTGACACTGAACCCATGGGGAGAATGGGCAACAAAAGCATATACCTACACTTTATCCTGGATTTTGGGCTAGAGTACAAACGTTTTTAATTGTGAGAGGATCACTGAGTAATTTTTTTTCTGAAAAGGGAGTGGTAGGCCAATAAATTTGGGGATTCTATGCTCTAGCCACTTACCCATGCTTTTAATATTATTAATAAACAGATATTAATGTCACTATGTGGTAGTTATATAATCATTTGTCAATTTGAGGATTAAGAATGTAGGGGTGGAGTCTAGCCTGTGATCAATCAGATCATAGCCAATGAGGCCTCTGTGTGGGCATGGCCTTCACCTAAGAATTCTGGGAAATCCAGTATTTTCCTCCTTGGAGGCAGGAGACAGCCTCTCTTTAACTACTTCACACCTTGGGAGACATAGCAGCTGACAAGACACATGGACCACCCTGATGCAGCCCTGGGTGCTGGAGAAGCCTCGGAGAGACCTCTGCTAGCGCTGAAATGCTTACAACGCCACTGGATCCAAAGACTTTCTACATACTTGCTTGTGATCGTTCTGCATTTGGCATTATTGCATGTGTTTCATGAATCTGAAGAGGACTTTATAGATTGGTATTGGATATATGGGCTAATACCGGACTTATGAACTTGGACTAGACTGGGTTGGGATGTTTTCTTAAAGTACAATTAATTACCTTTTTATAAACTCTCTCATATACACATGCGTGTTTATGAATCTGTTTCTCTAGTCTATCCAGACTAACAGACACTACTATATTAACACATATTAAAAGAAAATATTAATAAAATTTTCATGTTGACAAATAAGTTCATAATATAGAACATTTCTATCGACTTCCCTCAAGTCTTCCAGTCAATCTCTCCATCCCACATCAATTTACCAATCCCAGCCAATTCTGACTTTTTTCACCTTAATATTATTACCTGCTTCAGGACATCATATAAATAGAAAAATAGATTATTCTTTGTATTTGAATTTCTTTTTTTAATGAACATAATACCTTCAAAAGGTTCCTTAAAGTCAAAGAAAAGCAGACCTAAATACGTTTAGTAGGAAAAGCAGGACGCTTAGTAGAAGGCAGTGGCAGTCCGGCTACTCCTAAAAACTTACAATAATAATGATGCATCGAAGAAGTCCTGGTCTGAAAAAGAGTGAGAGAACAAGATGGCCAAATGGAAGGCTTGAAGCCAGAGTCAGAGGTCTACAAAGTTATGGTAGATCTGCTGTGGGCTAAGAGATCACAGTGTATTACATTTCTTCATGTCTAGTATGGGGCTTTCACTAAGACTAATCCAATTTGATTAAGTAAAGGATTTCCCAACTTCTAAATATGCTAGTTTATTATACCATAAATACAATCACTGATAAATATTGACATAGAACTTTTATGCAAAAATGAATAAAATTATTTTGCTTTAGGATTTACTTACTGAAGTTCCTGGTATGCAATGGCAGCTTCTCTTGGATGTTCAAAACAAAAGAATGCCTCAGAAAATCTGCGCACCTAAACAGTTCCAAAAGGTAAAGTATTAATAATCTGGATAATTTCAAAATCCAATAAAGCATCAACGGTAGGAATCCTCTCCTCCCTTCTCCCCACTCCACAAGCCCCGAGTGCGATGTGCTGAGTTGTTTCTGACTCATAATAGAACTGCCATAGATAGGACTTTCTTCGCTATAATCCTTGCAAAAAGCCAATCAGTAGGTCTTTCTACCCCTGAGGCCATTGGGTAGGTTTGAAGAACCAGCCTTTTCTCCTGCCTCCTCAATTTCCTATAATAAGAAGAATGATTTCTTGGCAGCATCCATCCTACCAGGCACTATGCTAAGGATGTATATACTTTATTCTTTTATTTAGAGAAGCAAACCTAAAACCCCAACATGTTTAGAATGGAACTGTGCCACAGGTTTTCAAGGCTGCGGCCCTTGGGAAGCAGATGACCAGGTCCTTCTTCCAAAGTACCTGTGGATGGATCCCTAATCAACCAGGGAATTCCAAAACCACAAACAAACTGAGGTACAAAGGGGTTGGTTACTTGGTCAAAATAACATAACTAGTTATTTGGTCCAAAACTGATACTCAAATAGATAAGAGAAACTTCAAATCTTGTGATATGTCACCTTTTAAAGTTTGATTATCCTTTCTTCCATGCACTCATATTCTTTTCATATTCTCACACCATAATTTGTTGCAATTTGTTATAAATAAACCTATTAATTATATTATGTGCCCATAACTAATATATGACTGCCACCTGATGGCAGCACACCTTAGTTTTAAAGCAAAAAATGCTAAATCTTCTCATTCTTAAGGCATGAAGAATATCTATAACTACTCTGGTATATATGTTTTGGTATACACAAAAAAGTACCAAAGAAAACAATTTATTAGGCAACATGAACTACTTACAGTTTAGCGGAGAGCTAAACTAAACAACAACAACAA